GAAATGTGGTAGTTGAGGTACAGTGCTGGAATGCTACAATAGGCCGTAAACTTTGAGACACAAATTAGGGTTTACCCTGCAGCATACATTTGAAATTTGGCAGCTGAGATATAGTTGTGGTAACATTGTGTGTCACCTTTACAGTACTGAAGCTCCAGAATAGACAACAAACTTGAAGTGTAATGCAGGATTTACCCAGTAGAAAACATTAGTAATTTGGCAGCCCAGGTCTAGCTGTGAAAACATTGTGTGCAACAGGGAGACCAGGAGAGGTGGCAAAAGCTGGTTGTGGTTGCAAGTATAATTTATAATTTGTTTTGCTTGTTTACCCTAAAAAATTTAGTTTTTAGAATCAGCAGCAGAGGTTTTGTTGTCATTGATAATCCAAGACTGGTTCCTCTGTATAAAAAAAAGTTTCTTCATAGTAAGAGCTGTAAAATAGACTCACTCAGCAACTAGTTGTACCTATTTCAGTTGCTTGTTAAAAAAGACTAGATGCATTCCTAAATGCACATAAAGTAATAACAGCAGAATTTTTGGATCAGGAAATATGTGTTGCCTTAGGGATCAGGAAGGATTTGTTTCTTCCCTGTTGGAGCAAATTGAACCATACTTTATAAGGTTTTTTTTTACCATCCCCTGGATCAACTGTGGGTATAGGATTCCGTTTATGGATGTATTCAATGTATTTATTCTTTTTTTTTTCATTGGTTTTAGGTGATATATTTTTGTCTTTTTTTCAAACTAACAAACACTGTTCTCAACAACAACTACTTGGCTCTGGGAGTAGTTAAAGATTCACTTTAACTCATTTTTTCCATCTCTTCAACACTAGCCCTCTTTCCTTCCTCCATATTTTCCTTCACAGCTTCCTGTTGCCTCTGTCGATGGAAGCAGTAGGCAAAAGTTTCTGCTGGTCCTGGGACAGTGCAAATCCTCTTCTTTCTCCTCCTTCTGTGTCTCTAGTTCCTGGTCTATCAGGCCATAGAATGTGTGCTCCAACACTAATCCCCACCTCCCAGCAGTTCACTATTTTGGTCACCTCTATAAAAGGTGCCAAAATACTGCATTCATCCTGAATCATGACTCATCATCATAGTGAAAAGAACTCAAGCTCCCTAGAGTCTGTCCTCATACCCTAATCTATAATATTAACCACTTCCCACAGGTAAAACATCCTTAGGTTGAAGTGGTTATACTGGGATGATGTCTGCACCTGCAGGCATCATCCTGGTATCAAAATTTTCTTCTGCCAATTCTCTGTTCAGCATGAGCCACTTGTTTGCTTCTGCAGGTGGCGGAAAGTGTCCCCCGCCCTTCCCACCAGCCCACTGCAACCAGCAGTGACAGTGGCACTACACAGGAAGAGGGGAACTGATGTTGTTCCTCCCTCTCTGTGACCCAGGAAACTGGAAGCAATGAGGATTTCGACACTTCTAGTTTTGGCTCTTTGTTTAACTGGCCGTTAGTGGCCAGGTAAGCAGCCAATCAGACCAATCTGTCTCTGATCGGCTGCATTGGAGGCCAGAGAAGTGATTTAGGGTCTAGTAGACCACATGTCTCTCCATAAAGAGGACCTGTCATGGCTCATGCTTTCACAATAGATGTTGTTCAAATGCTGGACAAACGCTGTCATGCTCTACAACACTTAAGGGACTGATGGTTCAAAGGATGATGCCAGTGAAAATAAAAGGGTACAGGTTACTGCCCTGTCACCAACATTCAAGGCACATGGCAGCATCACTAGCTTCAATAGTGTGCCCCATACTGCATCCTTTCCAACCACCAGCAGATTGACCCAGTGTCCAGGATAGAAGCATCGCTGTCTATGCTTACCAGACCATGTGTCATGGTCAAGAGTACCCTGCCAGTAATAACTTGGTTCAATAAATGGAATGATAGCAGCTGCAAACCAAGCATTTTTCCAAGCTGGCTTTAAGGAACTGGGCTAAGGTGTGATTTAGGGATGCTTTCTTCTTATTCTCCAGCTTTTGCAGAAGAGACAATTGTCACGGTAAGGATGTTGCTGGAAATGAAGGGGTGGGAATAGGAAATTTTTAGAAATATAAAAGCCTTCCTTAGCATTGCCTCATTATTCTCTTCAATGCTTGATGTGGCATATTGTAAGCCTTTACAACCGCTTGTGAGAATTCCCTCCCTGCCAGTAGAGGTTGAAAATGTTGCGGTTCATGCAGCAGAAATGAGGGAATAAAAAGAAGTGTGTGCTCCTTGTTGCTGACTTTTCTTATTGAGCTCTATGTTTCAGAATCAACTTTGCCCAGTGTTAACGCATACATGTACTATCCAAATGGCTGGTGCATTTATCAAAGCTGACACACTGCAGGCAAAGGCTGCAGACCACAATGGTCCTGTTGGCACCACACCAAATACATTAAGAAAGGTCCATAATATAGAGCTCTGTGGACTGGCCCTAGGGATAACAGCATACCTGTGGGGAAGTGCCACCAGTTGGATTAGGCCAGCTGCTCCCTCACGTTTCTTGCAGTCTGTCTCTACCCCTGGAAAAAATCCTTCCTCACTGCTGTTCTACCTCTCTCAGAACTTTCCTACTCTTCAATCCATGGTATCCACATATGGTCTGCCACCTCATCATCCACCCCATCCTCATCTCTAGAGCCAACTTGGCAGTAAGCTCTAACTGCTAGACCATCACTGCCTCTTGCTGCTCCCTTACCACTATGGTCCTAGTAGGAGGAGCAGTAGAAGGCAAAGAGAGCATTAGCATCAGATGCAGATAACTGATTTCTCTTCATCTAGGAGGAGGTAGAAATGGATGACTTAAGTTGGCCATAGATCAGGCGGTTCAGTAGGGACTGGTTGAATTTCAATCAGTGTCTGGCTATGCCTGCTTTACAGAAGTCGATCGTTTGACGGACTTCTTTTGAAGGGTCAACATGAAAAAAGTACCCATCTCAGGCCTCCTTTTGTCAGCTGTTCAACTGTCTGGCAAACGTTCAATGCCTTTCAATAGTGTAGTCTGCCCACTGTTTTGGCCTGAAGGACCTGTTCACCCCCTACTACCTCCGTGTACACAACCTCGAGGCCTGCCTGCCAGAATAATCTAGTTCCCATCCATTTATTCTAAGTCCTTCCAACACTGTTTCAAAACTCAGCTGCCCACTCCAGCCCCCTTCCTACTACCCTCTTTCTTTATTTGTTCCAATGTTTCTATTTTATTTTTTCCAATGTCTCTATTGTATTTTGTCTCCATTTTTGTGCTCTTTTACCAACTAATCTCTTATCCATCATTCACGGCACCAGATGGACTATATGCCTAGCTGCATTCTGTTTCCATGTTTTTATTTAGATTTTAGATTTTTTTCTGAGAGTTTGATGTTATGAGTTTGATGTTATACGTTTGTTGTCCTTATATACATTTATTGTGTTTTACTATATACATTTATTTTATCTATTTATTAATTTATTTCATCTATGTATCACATGCCTATATCATTCCAATGAGAGTTCCATATCAATGTACAAGTTACCAATGAACTTCTTCATTTGAAAAACTTACCAGTTGTTTTTAATATCCTCCTATACACTAGCCCTGATGAACGGCATTTACCTGAAATGAGGTGCTTATCACCTGTAAATTGTCAACTTCAATGAATCTCTTAAATATAAGCTCAAGTGTGATGAGCCTTTATACTGACTGTGCCTCTACACTTATTCAAGAGTGACGTTACAATATAGGGAATACATATGTGAGACTTTGCTGCACACTACTTTACTTGGTTGACTAAAACATTTAAAAAAAATTGGCAATAGCAAGATAAAATATACTGTTCAAAAATAAACCCTTCTCAATAAACCCCAACACTGTGAAGAGGGGGCCCAGCAACTACAGTTTTTTATGGTGCACATTAAAAGGACTGTTGAGTCTCTGAACTGTAAATACAGGGGAAGTACACAAGACTATGTAGCCAACAACAGTGCAATCCACAGTAATTTAGCACAATATAGCATACTATAGCACTACTAAAACTACCAAACTACTCCAACTACACTCACAAATGGCTGCTTTGAATCCCTGTAAAGAGGAGAGGTTGGCACATAATAAAGGCATCAGCATTGGCACCTTTAAGCCAACTGCCATAAGCTCAAAGGCCATGCAGCACATTATGGTTAAACTTCTGGTGAAGTTCTCCATTAGTTTATATGGTTTCGAAACCTTGAACATGCAGGATTTGCTGCAATCCTGAACCTCATCTCTAATGATTTGATATAATCACATGACACTGGGAGATGTGTGCTTTAGGCACAACACAGGTGAGCACTCTGTTTTTAATAAGCCTCTCTAAATATAAGGAGAGGTAAAGAGATACTGTTTCTAGATGATCCACATTCTAATCATGGCAGTGCAATTCCTGTCATATTATTGCAATTCCACAACTACAGCCCATGGTAACTGTTACCAAGATTGGAACTGAGATTCAGAGCCTGGTATACCAAGAATACTGACTGAAGAGCAATAATGCAAAAGGTAAGGCATCCTAATTAGAGCTAAAAATTCCTACACATGAACAAAACTTCCACTTTAATAAGTCACTGACACAGCATGTATATTTGTAAGGAGTGTTGACTTCTGCCTACTTGTTCCTACAAGTTACCCAGTGAGCAATGGAGATGGAGGTTCAGCCTGGCAGCCATCATTTTTAAAATGGATTTGGTTACAGCATACCTATTACTCTCAAAATAAGTTTGATGTAATACAGCACTGTCTAACTGCAAAACTGATATTTAGTATAAAGTATATTAATGTGGTGTAAATAGCAGAATAATTGCAAATTCATTTTCAGACAAGGCATGCTAATGTTCAAGTATACTCCATCAAGTGCACTTTCTACAGTTCATGAAACTTCCTGCAGTAGAAAAGTCTAGCTGACAAAGCTATGACACAAAATACATCTTTACATGATGACACAAAATACATCTTTACATGATGCAATCCCACACTAAAAAAAATGAGCACTTACAGTGTAAGCAGACCATACTCTTCTCCTCTATACTCTCTATATATTTTCCAAGGTTTAATCTCCATTCTCTTCGGATACATTGCTTCTTTTCTTAGAAGAATTTCTACTAAAGTAGGGTCTCCAATTTGCACTGACTTAAAAATTCCAAGATTCATCTTGAAAACACCTCCAAACTGTTGATGATATTTTAACTAAAGAGCAACAAAACAGTGATCTCCTTATAAAAAACTTCAAATTATCACATTGTTAATATTTATAACAGAAATTAAATTTAACATAATGAAAATTACTATGTTATTTTGTCTCATGCATTATTATGATGATGATTATTATTATTATTAGTAGTAGTAGTAATAACAGAAGTAGTAGAATTAGTGATAGCAGTAGAAAATAATACATGATATTTTAGTTACAGAAGTAAATCTTAGTGTTGGTTACAACAGCAAGCATATTTACCATAACTTCATGTTGATTTTGTAATCCTCCATTCCAAAGAATATTAAGGAAGCTTCCAATGCCAGGCAGGTCAACAGGACCTGGGATTTTGCAAAAAGGCAGAGGTGCTTTTGCTAAGCTAACACATTTGGGTAGTGTATGAAAAAATGCCTTGTGTAATAAAATCTCAGGCATACTAAGAGGCAACAGAAATGAAAAAGTCTTCATTGCAAGTGCAATTACTCAACAAGTTTCATTACATTAATTTATCTAGAGTGATGAATTTTCTATAAGAAAAATATTCTAGAGAGGCTTATGCAGAGTATAAATTAGAAAAGTTTATGGGAGCCTAAGGTAAAATCTTGTCTATATATGGGACAGTTTAAGAAAAGGACATACAGTACTCTTGGATATCATTGGTTTAGAGTTTCAAGTGGGTGAACTTTAAAGTGTTGAAAATAACAGAATGTTTACACCAGTGAAGTAAGACCTAGTTTGTAGTTTGCTAATTAAAAAGATGGACCAGTTCAATAGTCTAATGTTCAAGTGCACTCCATCAAGTGCACTTCTTACAGTTCATGCACTTCCTGCAGTAGCAAAGTCTAGCTGACAAAGCCATACAATAAACCTATTTACCAAAGAGTTTTGAACACAATAGTATTTGATTTGGGGAAATATAATAACTACATGCAGTTTTTGTATATTCATCAATAACAGACCATTACCAAAATGCTTTAAAAATCATCACAAGCCTGTGTTAAGTTCTAATAATAGCATTCAGTGTTCATAATATGTTACTGCAGACGGTATTCAGGGTTTTTTTTTTTTTACCTCTTAAACTTCTTGGACTATAGTAGGGAAGAACAACATAATTGTTCTTATACTAAGACACATTAAGTAACTAAACAAATGGACCCATGTTACTTTTCAATATATATAATTTGATTCTTTTATCTGTATTATTGTAAAAAGATATCCAAATATAATTTTATGATGATATTCACTTTATTTTTAAGGCTAATATGATATGAATAAAAACACTTAAACTAGTGATGTTTCAGTAAACAAGATCACATCTTAAACTGTCCCAAATACACTACAGTAAATTACTTACTATATGCACAGTCTGTGTTATGTAGTCTATATAATAACTCACCCAAAAAAATATCATGAGACTCCACTGAAAATGAATACTTTGAAGTTTATATTATTGTGTGAGATGGAGTCATGGCTTTAAAGTGGTTCTAAACCCTAAACATTTTTTTACCCTAATGCATTCCTTGCATTAAGGTGAAAAATGTTTGGGGCTAAAGTATCGCTCCCTCATCTACCCTCCCCCCCCCCCCCCCAATACTTACCCGAGTCCTCACTTGATCCAGCGCTGTACACATCTGCATTGGCTCTCTCCTCTTCCCCTGCTCCTACAGGCTTTGCTGAGACCAGTGGGAGACATTCCTTGCATTAAGGTGAAAAATGTTTGGGGCTAAAGTATCGCTCCCTCATCTACCCCCCCCCCAATACTTACCCAAGTCCTCACTTGATCCAGCGCTGTACACATCTGCATTGGCTCTCTCCTCTTCCCCTGCTCCTACAGGCTTTGCTGAGACCAGTGGGAGACATTGGTTGCTGCTGCTGTCAGTCAAATCTTGTGACGAGGGAGCGGGGGCAGGGCCAGGCCTCGCAGTCTGTGTCACAGGATATAGGTAGTAGGGCTCAGGATCGAGCATGCAGGTGTACCACTTCCTATGTGGCACACCAAGAAGAGGAGGAGCCAGGAGCACCAGTGGGGGGGCCGAGGAGAGGAGGTTTGGGGCTGCTCTGCGCAATTCCTTTGTACAGGGCAGGTAAATATGAACCTGTTTGTTTTAAATTAATAAAAATTAAAAGTAAGACTTTACAATTACTTTAAGCCTAGATGGCAAAACTAACCTTTTGCTGACCATGAAACGCATATGTGCAGGAAGAGCAAGCCTTAACCCCCACATGCTGCACATATGCTTTCATAGGGGTCAAGGGTTCTGTGCTGAGGGTGCGCTCACTGCACACTCCTAGCACATTTACCAATCTGTCATTGACAGCTCCTGGTCTCTGTTTATGAGGTGGCGGGATGGGCTACCGATCATTTGACTACTGTGACAGCCAATCATAGTAAGCACATGAATGGCATGTCACACTTGAAGGGGTGAATAAGACAAAACTACTTCTAAGTACAAAGATCATATGAAAGGTGTTCAAGTCAAACCAGGACTTTTCATTTTAAAGGTATAAAAATGGATGCTAGCATGGAGGTACTACACGCAGTAGTAAGTGGCAAGTGTGTCCTATTACTGATAGGCGGCGCACATATCGGGGCCAGTTCAGAGACCATTAATCAAGATGGCAGACAACAGTGTTAGTGGTTGTATGGAACAGCATGTGGGGATAACGTTTCTTGTGAATGAAGGTGTAAAACCCACAGATATCCACAGAAGACCTCAACCACAGTACACTGCAGTAAGACATTTGAATGGTGTAAATGTGACGATCAGTGACGATCCAGGCCTTGGTGGTTCCCAGCTCACAGCAGTCATTCCTGTGAATATTCAGTGCATGGAGTGCATGAACCTGGATAATCAACGCATAGTCTGTTGAAAAATTGCACAAGAGGGAAATCTTTCTGGGGGAATGGGAACACAATGATGACGAAGGCTGTCCTAGGATGGTTCTAGCATACTGACAAATTTCTATGCTGTAGCTTCCAGGTATTAATTAAACACTGGGATAATTGTATACATGTAGCTGGGGAGTATGTCGAAAAATAAATGCAGTTTCTACTCCTTGAAATTTGTTCTTTTTTTTATATAAACTCAAAAGTCTCAGTTTGACTTGAAATCCCCTTGTATTATCATGATGGATCTCAGACTAGTTTTCACCAATTAGGAAAAAAACATTTTACAACTGATAAAACATTACTGAGATGAGTGATCCAACACAATAGGGGAGATTTACTAAAACCAATGCACACCGAATATGGTAAAGCTGTCCATAGTAACCAGATTTCAGGTTTAGTTCTCAAAGCTTAATTGGAAAAGATGAAGTTAGAAGCTGATTGGTTACTATGTACAACTGTGCCAGATTCTGTGTGCACCAGTTTTAGTAAATCTCCCCCAATATGTCATTACCTCTATTCTACTACTATTGATTGCTCAGTTCATCTGACAATAACTACATAGGAAACAGAATTGCAAACCTTTGGTACAATATATAAAAATTAAGGTGTGTTTTCACTTGGTTAAAGTTACCAGAAAAAAAGAGAACTCTAATATGTTTAATTATTTTTATCACACAAGTATGTCTATACTAGTGAATATACAAATGAGTAAAATGTGGGTGGCCTGTACTTCTCATATTAACGTGAACTTGGTGAATCTAGTTTTATCTATTCTGGTGCCATTACTGGCTTGAAAAGTGTAAAGAGAGTTCATACAAGCTGCTATTTTGTAGTTTGCTTGCTAAACTGTGGAATCCTGTGCTCTGTAATCTAATTAAACCATCATTTAAAATACCAGTCTTTTTATTACTTGGCAATCGGTCATAACAATCACCATTGATTTATTGTCCTCACAATCAGCCCTTCTTTCTGAAGTCTATTTTTGTCCTTAAACAAGAACATTTTCCAAAAGAATTGGTTATTTGAAGGTGTATATAGTCCACTACTTCAATTGCTAAAAATAGTTGAGGACTCTTGGTGAAGACACTTTAAAACTATTTCCATCAGAATTCTGAATAAACAGAGAACTTATTTAACATTTTTAGCTACCAAACTCATTAACCTTGATTGTATCTTTGTTCTTAGAACTAAAACAGTATGTAAGAGCTGTGCTACTGAACTCACTTGAACCAGAGGTAGTGAAAAGGCATTGAAACATTAGAGCCCCAACCTAGGAATGCTTTTCACCAGAGGATAAGGAGATGTTTAGGCTTCTAAACCTTGAGGCAAGAACAGCAGCATGTTTAAAAGCCTTACATTTATTACATGAAAGTAAGGTGGGCTATTTTAGGATATGTTTCTATACAAAGATAGTTAATTAATGATTTTTAGAATCGTCAACAATAAACCCATGTTCAATCTGTTGTCATCTGATTGAGGCACCTTGTAAAGTACAAAAATGTTCCACTTATAAATATAGATGAAGAAAAATAAAGCAAGATCTGTGTGTTAGTGTGTTTATGGTTTTACATCTCTAATATATATATATATATTTATACAGTATACACTCACTGGCCACTTTATTAGGTACACTATGCTAGTGCCAAGAAAATATCCCTCACACCATTACACCACCACCAGCCTGAACCGTTGGTACAAGGCAGGATGGATCCATGCTTTCATGTTGTTTATGCCAATAATGTGACCCTACCATCTGAATGTCGCAGCAACCAGTCTGCCCATTCTCCTCTGACCTGGATGTTTTCTCTTTTTCAGACCATTCTCTGTAAACCCTAGAGATGTTTGTGTGAAAATCCCAGTAGATCAGCAGTTTTTGAAATACTCAAGACAAGCCTGTCTGGAACCAACAACTATGCCATGTTCAAAGTCACTTAAATCTAATTTCTTCCCCATTCTGATGCTCAGTTTGAACTTCAGCAAGTCGTCATCACCACATCTAGATGCCTAAATGAATTGAGTTGCTGCCATGTGATTGGCTGATTAGCAAGTTGTGTTACCAAGCAATTGAACAGGTGTACCTAATAAAGAGGCCAGTGAGTGCATGTCTCTACTCACTGACACTGTTGTTAGCACTGATTATAATTCAGAGACTGCATGTGCTAACAAAGGTACATTACACATACTAAAGTGTCAGTTACTTTTCACACTTCTATATACAAGAAAATTGTATTGTTAAAGCAAGGTATGAGGGAGCTTAATGTGATGTATTATCTTATCATATTAATGAATAAAGATTTAAAACATAATGCTATTTACAGAGGTGTATTTGGTGGCATTGGGGCAATATCACATATATGGTTTCTCCACCCAGCCATCATCCAAGCACCAAGGGCATTGCTAAGGTCACAAATTAATTATGGTTCCAATAGAAAATATTGTTTTTTAAAAAAAAATTCTGGTTTTTTTTTGTTTATAGCGCAAAAATAAAAAACCCAGAGGTGATCAAATACCACCAAAAGAAAGCTCTATTTGTGTGAAAAGAGAATATACATGTTGTTTGGGTACA